TATATATATATATATACACATACATACACATACATAGATACGTTAAACGAAATCATTAGAGTTATGAAAGACAAAAAAGATTTGCGATGATCCAAGGCTATAAGTACACTATTTCGATATTCGATTATTTCAAGAGTTCAGAATGCGTTATGCAATCAGGGTACTCAGAGACATTAGCATTTCAATAAATAAATGCCTGATCGTTTAGCTTGGCACATTGTAAGTGAACAGAATTTGCGGGCATGTAAAAAAAATGAAAATGTGATAATCGCAGATCGTTAGTCTAGAATTGCTAAGAGTGATAAAGAAGAAAAGCGGATTGAATAACGAATACTCTTAAAAAAAAAAAAAAAAAAAACCAGTGGTGACATGTATGTTCTACAGGATTTGAGCTTCTTACATATTTTATTTAATTATATATTTCTTCTTGCATCTTGTGTCTGTACACAAGCTGTGATGTTACGACTTTTTTGTATCCAATTTATTTGTATAAAATGTTAGGAATAGCGTTAAAGATTTGCATATAGGTCACTGGTACTTTGCTCATTGATATATAGGGTATCCTAAAACTGAAGCATTATTTTTCTTTTTTTAGTAAAAAATTCTTTGAAATTCGGAATCAATTTTCGAATCGTTCTAAACGAAATTTGAAAAAAATTTTGCATAAGTTAATTTAAAAATAATAAATTATAAAATAAAATTTTAATATATAAAATAACGTGCGTATGTATACATGTATTAAAAAATTATTAACTTTTATTTCAAATCGCACGTGCTTTAAAATTATAATTTTATTTATATACCTGTATTACTAGATACTGTTTGTATGCGTGTAGATAAGAAAAACATCTTATTCATTTTATTTTATCAAAGTTTTGATTTCTTTCTGATCATTTAATGAATTAAATACGAGATATTGAAAGTTGAACGATTCCAACGAGGAATATTCTTCTAAATAGTATCGAAGTAAAGAGATCAATATTACACGCAAATTCATCAAAAAATGTTATGACAAAAAATTGTATAATAATTTCAGATACCCCATATATCCCTTTATCGCATTTGTTCTGATAAGCATCGAATTAAAGTGGCACGATATGTACGCGACGTTGAAGGAACGAAACAATCATGGATCGCACTAATAAATCTCATAGTGGACTAAATGTACTTTCAAACGGATGCACAGTGTAAGAACAAACTAAATAAATCCATCAAAAGGAGGGTATTTACGGATATGGAACAATCTGGAACTTCTACCATTTTGTCTTGTATCTTTAACTTACTGAGAGATTACGGATGTATAGTGGGATTAGCTAATCAGTCTTGTGTTAGAGGCTCGTTATGTCTAGACTCAACTGCATTACGTTACGTTGCTCGCATAATAACTCTCTCCTTAGCTCATTCCGTTAGGATTCATCCATTATTATTTATCTCGCGATTGTAACAATTACAGGGATTCAATCTTTTTTTTTTTCGTTCGTCGTTTTTTCAATCTTGTTTCTCACTGGGCTCTAAGACAGTCTACGTTCTCTCGTTTCTACTCAAAAGCATGGTGCATGCCTCTGAATTTCATAGTGTTATTTCGTGGAGCAACGCAGAAACGATTACGCAATGAATTAAGAACGATATCTTATGCCGCTGTTGTGTAGCCGTTGTGCGGTGTATAAATAGGTGTGGATGATCCTATTGCACTATATGGAAACTACAAACTCATGACTGTAAATTGCACGACGAATCTTTGCAGAATATATGTTAACTTTCGATCGAAAAGTGGTATTCATTCGCAGTGAGAATATGCTATATATATATATATATATCTTCCTCCTTGGAAGATATCAGAAGCATATTATAAGAGACAAAGCGCGACAAATGTTCATTTGCCAGCTCCACGAAATAGTACAGTTACGTACGCAGCATATATAGCTTATGTCATATGTACAAGGTATGTCGGGAAAATTTCAGAAGCACAATAGCAACATAGAAGAAATTTTGATAAAATTACTTATTGCTTGTCACATAGATATTTAACGCATTAGATTCGCAGTAAAGTTCACGTTGGGATAGATAAATATCTAATTTCTTTTGCAATATTATTGTGCGACCGTTAACTTGTTCAGCTCTGAAACCTTTCAAACATACAGCTTCATTTTTTTTTTTAATCTCTATATTCGCGAGATTGTCTAGATATACAGAACGAGAAACGAGGATAAGGCGCGCCGTTTAAATTAATTACCAGTACTTTTACAAGCGTAACATTTGATCGTGATAGAATTTTGAAATTAAAATATTAATATTGAATTTAAAGCTTAGATACTAATTGTTTTTTCCTTTAAGATTTCATAATTACAATAAAAAGATTAAAATAGAGATTATGAACTCTTTGCAAGCTATCGCAAATACTCATCAATTATATGGTATCGCTACTGAAGCCTTCGAATTTGAAAAAGAGGGTCCTTACTTTCTAATTCTACGATGTATCGAACAATTGGTGGATTCAGAACTCTTATAGGTCAACTGATATAATAAAGTCAAAAATATTAAAATGATGTAGAAAACATAAATATAATAGAAATTTATAAATTAGAGGAACGCGATATATATATTTGCTAAGTCCGTACACTTATTCTGAATCACCCTCTACACATATACTTTCCAACATATCTATATCACTATACGAGTTCAAAGCTTAAAATCATGCAAAGTGGCGACTAGGCGTAATTCACAAAATTTATAAAATGTGGTCTTTTTGCTGTGAACAAAATGTCGTACCAACGCGGTAGTCGACCTAATTGCCACTTTGGTTTACCATATTTACTATAAACTCGGGGGAAAAAAAAATAAACCAATGCTATATAAATATATATTACAGCAGAAAATTGCGCAAAAAGCGCACCTTGCGACCCGCGATAATGAAACAGAAAGTCTATGATATAAATAATAAATCTGCTTAATTCTTTGATACACGCTAGGTAGTTAATGGAGCGAAAAAGAGAGAAAGAGAGAGAGAGAGAGAGAGAGAGAGAGAGAGAGAGAGAGAGAGAAGTTACTACATGCTTGTCAGCAGACTATAATGTGCATTGCCAATGGACAAGTCGTATGTTTCTCACAGTGCACGGCCGAATCTCAAGGGGAGACACATTTGAATCGCAACTGTCTGTAATAACTCCATGATAACGGCGTCTTTAGTATAAAGTAAACCTCTCCGTATTAACGTATATACTACACAGCGACAACTTCAAAAAGACAGTATCTGATATAAATATATTCGCTGCCTCTTTCCAACATGCATCGCAGCGCAACAAATATATAATTAGCTGTACACGCGTAGTGATATTAATTACATTTAGAGAGACGGAATTAAGACATGGTAACACCCGTATAAGGAAACTCCACTCGCTTGTTAGGACCTGTACTCTTAGTTACGTCTAGAACGTTTAAAATAGACTTATGAGTATAGTAGCTTGTATATGTTAGCTAAAACACACTAACATCCCCTTTCATATGCAGAAAACATTGCTCAGTGTAATCCTTTCAAAACGATAATTCAGTACGCTCAGAAATTTGGCACAGACACTGCCTTTTTGTTTTGGAATATTCATATCCGATTCTCGATTCACTCCAAGTGATAAAATTTCGTACAGCGAAGCTACGTGGTCGTATTACCGATGTAACCGTTATTCAAAATTTCCGATTTGTTCATGTAGTCGCCCGTAGTACGCTTGTTATTTTCCGTTTTGTCACCGTTAATCTGAATGTCCATAACGTCCACTGATGGAAATTCTACGTGTAAAGAAGTGATCTCCTTTTTTTCGACGCCCGACATGATTTCGGGGCTTCTATTTTCGTAATCGGGATCGTCCCGACGCTTAGACGGATTTGGGCTATCGAGAAAATTTCGCTTAACTAAACTTTGTGGACTTCCAGGCTTCCCTAGAGAACCTTGACTTACGTTACTGCGGGAAGTACTTTTCTTATATATAAAAGGCGAGCTTCTGACTGATTTAAGGCTGCCTTCTACGAAAGGCGAGTTTAATGTGTCCTTACTAGATACGAGCGAATCTCCGGAAATACCGCCAAATTCATCGAATCCAGCCTTGGGTACTTTTATAGAGCTCATGTCATGGAAATTGGAAGTAGCTTTTGAGGATTCGCCATACGAATCTGCTCCGTATCGTGGACTTAAGTTATTTCTAATACTGCGAGGCTCAAAACTTGCAAAGTCACCAAAGTCCTGGCGCAGAGGCGAATCTTCTCCCTGCATTTCTTCCTCCCGCAAATCTTGTAGAGCAACCATTTCTAGATCTCTGTTGAAATTGAATAATTAAATAGCATACATTTAATTATTTCAAATATGCAAATTATTACATATGCATTAATTGATATAAAATTAAGTATACTTACTCATTTTGTGGTGAATGCGAACTATTTTGATTTCGAGCTTCGATTCCCTCCGAGCTATGATAAAAACTAACATTTTCAAAGTCTTCTATACTAACTTCTTGCATTAACAGCGTCTCGATGTCTATAAAGGTAGGTCTTCTCGTAGCTCTATGATTCCAGGTACGCCTCATTAAATTATACAGTGAGTCAGGACAATTTTCCGGTCGTTCCATTACTCCCCCCTCAATTACGTAACGCAATACCTACAAAAAGAGAGGCAATAATTTAGAGAGACGTATAACAACAACAAAAGTTATTTTTTCTTGCAAAATTCGTATTCACCTGATCATTCGACAAGCCTTGATACGGCTGCGAAGCCAGCGTTACCATTTCCCATAGAACAACTCCATAGCTCCACACGTCAGAGAAACTCGTGAATACGCCGTCCTTCAAGCTTTCTGGTGCCATCCATCTGACTGGCAGCAGTCCCTTGGATCCTTTTCGATAGTAATCGGTTTCGTATATGTCTCTCGTCATGCCGAAATCGCCGATCTTTACGGTAAGATCTTCGGCTACCATACAATTGCGAGCAGCCAAATCTCTGTGGACAAATTTCTTCGCGGAGAGATAAGACATGCCGTCCGCAATTTCGACCGCCATTTGCAGGATGTCTCTCAACGTCGGAGGTTGCTTCGAGTTCACGCATACGTCCGGCCGGTGATTTCTCAGATACGTCTTTAGATCACCGTTCACCATCAGTTCCATAACTACCAATGTAGGTTGACCTTGCGACACTACGCCCAGCAGTCTGACAACGTGATGAGTGTTGAAAGCCCTTCAACAAAGAAAATTATAATAAGTTGGAAAGATAGAAAGAAGAGACAACGGTGCTTGAGAGCGGAAGCAATTAATTCCTCTTACTTCATGACGGAAGCTTCGTTAAGGAACTCTATTCGTTCACGGTCGGTTGCGTTTTCATTTACAGTTTTCACGGCGCACCGCACTTCCGGATTGCCTTTCACGACATCCCTGGCCAATCCTTCGTATACCATGCCGAAAGAACCATTTCCTAATTCTTTTAATAATTGAATGTTCTTTCTGGCCACTTCCCATTCGTCCGGCACGTAACTTGTACTCACATATTCCGGATTCACTGTCGCGATAAGCCTCATACTGGGCACATTTCGCATCGCTCTCTTTCTAAATACATAGAACATTGCTAGAGAACTCGACATTATGACAATGCTCAGTATCGACCAGAAGAAAATCCAGAATGTGCTTAATGTGCCATGTTCCGATATATAAAAATATTTCACTTCGGTATACGCGCCATTTCCGGCTAAGCTCGTAGCTCGTACTTTTACAGAATAATTTCCAGCAGGAAGATTCTTTAAGACGTACGAGTTGCCCATGTTGGCGAAATCGCGTCTTGTGATGCATACCACCGTTGCTTGTATCTATACAATAAAAGAAAAAGATTATATTGCAGACAGTATGTACATATACAAGATACATTCTAAACTACAAATTACTTTCCATTTTTCCTCAGATTAGATTTTTAATAGATTTTTTTTTTTTTTTTTTTCCATCAAATTCATTCTTCCTTTGTTATTGTGTTGTCTTATCGAAACATGTTTGTTGACAATATTTTTACTTAATAAATAACTGTGTTACTCACATTTTTTATATCAATTCTTTTATACTCGATTTGATACGTGACTATTAGGCCATTGGGTTGAGGCGGTTCGTCCCAAGACAATGTAACTATAGGAAGGCTGTTATTCTCGCCGGAAGTCTTTAATTGAAAAGTGTCCGCTGGAATATTATCTGCAATGTCCATAGATAACGTGCGGAACGTTTTCATGCTCTTCGTCGAGCAATTCTTACTCTTCGTATCATTGCCAACTCGTTCTCGGCAAGCTTGAACTTCAATATTATACGCAGCAAAATGCCGGAGATTTCTCATGACGAAAGTATGATTTGTGCTGGGTATTAACCGCTCGAATACTATGAATGTACCATTCTCTATTTTATCGTTGGTGCTTTCTCTTTCTCTATCCTAAACATAAAACAGTCGTATTCAATTTTAAACGACGTAAAACGACGATGTAAAACTGTACACGATTGATAAACTGTAACTGCAGGCGATCAAATGTTACTATTGACTCATTTCGTATTGATATTTTTACTGTTATTTTTATCGAAATTAAATTAATCTCTTAATCGATTTCATATACGCGCAGGAAATAAAATACAGAACTTGAATAAATAAAGTAAATAGAAGATAAAAATTAGTAATAAAATAAAAAAGTAAATAACGTCCAGTACGCAATTTATTTCTTCATTTTTATATTTTTCTGCTTACAGTTAATAATCGCTATTGTTGTAAAGAATCTGAAATTTTACCTGAACGTATGAAAAATCATCGTTTAAGACCGATTCCTTCTTCACCATGTTTAACATTTCAGTAGCCCCGCGTCTTCTGCGTTGCGACATTCGTTTTATATAAACCTGATTGTGTAATGCGTTCTCGAAGGCGATCGAACTGGAAACTTCTTTCTCACGCGTTGACTGATCTGTCGTTTCACGATCTGAACAGACGCACGAATCGGATTTTGCAAACTCCTTCTCTAGCTCGGTGTGCTTCTTTTCTTCCTCCGCTATGACATCATCCGGTTTTGTTTCAGGTAACAGCATAGCTGAAATTAGTAATTAATTTATTAATAATAAATCAATTTTTATTTTCCACTGTAGAAATACCTCTCGCGGTGAAAACATTAACATATTCATAGTAATCGTGTCAAGAAGTAATAGCGATTGACATTTGTATTAAAAAAAAATTTTCTTTACGTTATTATTTTGCTGCATGCTATTGAAAAAAAAAGTAATTTGAATTACGTTCGTCACAGTAATTCCTCTGGTCGATGAAATTCGGATCATCAGGCTCCCAACGACCGACGATTCGATAATGCGTTAGATTTCCATTTTTGTGAAGCGGCGGAATCCAAGATATAATCAGTTCGCTGCTAGAATTACTCCAAGTCGATAAGGCTCTAGGCGAGCTAGGCGCATCGGGCAGCGTCGTAAAGTACTTGACTTTACTCTGCGCGCCTGACCTTTCCGTGGCTATGGTGTAAGTCTTAACATAGTAAGCATACTGAGTATACGGCTTCAGCAGTGTCAGTATGTGAGTGTGATAGACAGGCTCTTGTGGATCTAACGTGCCGTTGTAGGGCTGCATCGTCGTACTATCAGCGGAAACGTCCTCCACCCGCCAGCCATCGCCGCCACAAGCGTCGCGGCCATCGTACATCGTTACGTTCTGATTAGGCGCTTCGATAAAGTAAACAACGTAACCCAAGAGAGACCTGGTATCGTGATGCGTAAAGCCCTTCCACTCGATAATAACACCTCTAGATGTTTTCTTGGTGATCCTCGTTTTTAGCTCGGTAACATTGCACGCGACTTTGTCCCCATTGCTGCTGGACGCCACGTCGTGATCGTTGAACTCCTCCAATTTGGCCTTCTCTCGCAATTTTTCGATCTCGTGCAGACACAATTTCGGATTGAAATGAAAGAAGAGCTTAGCGGGGCCAACGCTGGACAAGATGGTAATATTCGGGTGCGTGCTCCAGTCCCAAAGCTCCTGAAGATTCTGATTGTCAAGCACCATGAGACTGTACTTGCCATTCTCGAGGTCCTTACCGCGTATCACGCGTAGATTCTTCAGAAAATTGAGGGATATCAATGGGAAGCTGCGGACGATCTTCAAATAGCCGTCTATTTCCTCGAGCGTGCCTAAGCTGTCCTCGAGTTCCTTTACGATGTTTTTGCCACCGCGTATCTGTATCTCGAGGCTACCCTTGATGTGCGTACATCCGCGCAACTTCTGTGCCGAAGCGATGCTTTCCACGTTCGCACCTTCGCACTCCTTCAGGCACCACCGACCTTTGCACTGCTCGCAGTCGCCACGCGCACTCTCCATATAACCCGGCGGGCACTCGATCACGCAGGAGGTATTTAGGAACGGCTTGTACGGATAATTCTTTACGGCATCCGATGCTTCGCGCGGCTTCGGCATCTTATGGCATTCCTCCTTTTCGATGCAACGTCGATTCATAAATTCTAATTTGCCGGCCGGGCAACGATCTTCACACTTGCCGTCTACCAGCACGTTTCTGCAAACGGTACAGTTAGTCGTCACTTCCGTGCATCCACCCAGACAGGACGCGTGACAGCATTCTCCCTTATTATTGCAAGCTCCATCCTCGCATTTCTGGCATACTGTAAAGACAAATATGTTGAAATAAAATGCCAAACTTTATCGCGTTTTTCTCGTCAATTAACTAAATAATAATTTGCAAATTATCTAAATGACATTCATTGTGCTTGTATTTATTGTACTTGTGGAGGCACTCTAACCGTATGTATTTATACACGATACTTAAAGAGAGATAAAATATATAAACTGTAAATTCCACGATATAGAGCGAAAAGTTGTATGAAATTTTTTAATCAAATTTAAATCAAAATTCCCCAAAAATTGAACATCTGTGTTGCTTGTGACAATTTTGATAAAAATCCGGCTTAAGATTCGGCGAAAAGAACGACCTGATATAATATAATCGCGAATACAATCGATCGCGCCGTAATGACTTACTTTGTTGGCAGTGTGTTCGATTCCAGCACAGAGTCTGATCGGGTTTCGTCTGTCTTATTGGGCATCGCAGGAATTTATCGCACACTGGACAGCCGTTTGTTGGCTTGTTGTCCTATAAACAAAATGCGAATGCGTTGTAACACAATTTTATTTATTTATGCGTTTTTACGTATAATTTCTCTTGAAATTCCGCTCGAAATTTTGTATTAACATTTATTTAAAAAAATGCCATCGTAGAATTATCACTTTTGAATGTACTAGGTATTTAAATCAGCACGACAAACATGTTTGAAGCAATGAAAATACATTGGCAACAATTTTTAACTATAACATTTCTAACTTGACGTCTTTTGCATATATTGTAGATATATTATTGTCGGAATTTAATCCGGTTATCTTATTGCTATTAGCTTTTCATATAATTGATTTTATTCTATATTTACGTATCTTATTTGTTTTTGAATGCCATGCGAATCAACGAAATGTAATCTGCATGTACGTCAGAAAAGAGAAGTGTGGGTGCGTAAGATTTTTTTGGGCAGAACATAGGAATTCTTTCGCTACCATGCGAAACTATCTGTAAGAAAGTAAGAAAAGAAACAAGCCTATACTACGTCGGAGCCGATACGAAGGTCGAAAAACACATTGCGAAAGGCTCGTATTCGATGATCAATACCGTTGCCGTTTCTCGCAACGATACGCTTTTCACGAGATATATTCGATACTACTTCCACGAACATAAAGCAAAAGAGTGAAAGTTGATTGATCGAACGAGTAAAGAAGGGAAATTTACGTACAAATAATTCTGTCACTATAAATATTTATCATGTTGGACTCGTTATTCGATCGTAGATACGCAATCATTGCACAGCTTTATTCACACGATGCTAAAACGATTTGATCGCTTCAGAAGGTATATATTGTATTACAGCAAAGCATCGTGTTACCACTAACACCGTGATTTCTCACGGCTTCGTTGTAGGTCGAGTTTTCACGGTGCATTAATTACGGCATTTTGCACAATACGCGTTCGTTGTAAAGTGAATGAAGTAATTTTCAACCGCTATCACCTTATATTTTTTGTCTCTTAACAATTCATTGATGGAAAAAAACGCTGCGAAGCGTGACAAGTCGCGCGCGCGAATTGCGGTGCTCGCGTTTAGTCTAAATATTGTGATTAGAAGTTTGCGCAATTTCTCTAGCTCTTTTCAAAAGAACCTGAACGGCTATCGTAAGCTATTATGCCATATTTTGATGCCGAATGACGCCGAGTAAAGATAGGATTGTCCTTGGATTGTCGGCCGATTCGAGTCTTGGATAAACTTACTTATGTTGGCCATTGAATCTCTCTAATAATAACCTGCCGTCCCTATTTAAGTGTCGCGCCAAGATAAAAAATCGAAGGTACTCACCATTATGACGTGGCCTCCCTTGCCAGCTGGGGCGATGATGTCCCAGTCGATGGTATCGACGTAGCAGAGCGTCGGATTCTTCTCGAATCGCACGGATCCGCGTAGAATGTTGGTCAAGGAAAAGAGACCGATTTCTTGAAGGTGCATCATTTCGAATGCCACAAGAGCATAATTGATAAAGAGAGAATGACCGCGAATGACCGCAAGATTCGGAAACAGATGGCCGACGGTCCTCAGTCCGCTTACTCTGGAAACACGAGCAAACAAATGCGAGGCTAAAGTACGCGAATAACCCATCGCATAGACCGTCTGCTATGCTAATGGGGAAGATCTCTTTAAAGCTTGACATTTAATATATCTGCAGTATTAAATGTTCCGCAAATGTAGTTGTACCTGAATAAAATAAGATATCCAGTGATCTCGACCAGTTCAGGGAAGCTGATATTGTCGTAGGCCGATTGCTCCGCTCGATCGATCAATAGAATTTGTACGAAGCCCTCGACCACCCGGCATCCCTCTAGTTTTGAGAATTGACTCACGCTGTTTCTTATGTCTATACTTTGGCACACTGCAACAGAGGAAACCGTATCGTAAAGAGAATAGAATTAATAAGAGATTCGTATTATATTAACTAGGTGTACTATCTGAGTCATTAATATTGCTGTACAAGCTGTCACTGACAGTCCAGTTAAAAGAAAACACTCACGTGGGCTTAACTATACTATAATATCATCTGTATTGTGTCGAATCTGCAAAATTAAGGAATCGCGTCCATCGTGCGTGAAAGTCATTTATCTGCAAACCTTGAATTTTTAAGAGAATGAAACATCTTTTCCGAGCAGTTGAAAATTCATAAAAATTTTTGTACACAAATTTTCGATTATACATCGTTCAGTTATTATCAATTGAAATCGTAGATTGGGCTGATGGAAATTGCTTCACGTTAGTTCGATAAAAATCAAAACTGAAAAATCAGTAGTGTAATTTTTGCAGTTGCGAGCGCGTGTTCTCCAGTGCCAAGTCACGTCTGGCACGCGGCTGCATCAACGTGCAGCAGTCAAGCTGGTACATTAAACCGCGGCTCGCTTCCTCGGTTTCGCTAATCGTCGTATTGGAACGGGCGTAACGGAACGTTGTCGAGTCGACGTGCTCAATTTCAACGGGAGACGCTAAAAATACTCGCCGCGCCGCCACCAGCAGCCGTCGAAATAAACAGGAGACGCGCGTTCCTCCATTATTATTCGCGCGAAGTGTATATCGTTGTCACGATCGCTTTATCGAGACGATTTCATCATAGACGGATAAGCGCCGCCGTCTATACCTTGCGACGTGCAAGGTCTCTTAAACTTTCCTTCGCAGAATGATTTCGTGATAAATGACGTCTCCTCCAACGGTTTACCTCTCACAATATACGATTTGCATGAAGGAAGAAACACACACATGTAACTTTCCTTATGGTAGCGTCATCAATTTGTTCGCAGGAATAAGATTGTACATTATTCGAAGTAGAGGATAATAGCGTTATCAGCAATGACTTTCAATGCTAACGATAAGCAGAGCCAAATTCGTAAGTTATTTTGTACTCGAGAATAATTGACGGCGTGCGTTACTGTCCTTCACGAATTATTTATCTATAATGAAGTGTCTGGCCGAGATATCGTACACATCGCAAAAGCTACATCTTGCTAAAGCTGCTAGTCTAGTCGTACGTTTTTTTGGCAACGCGCGTTGCCAAGATACGCAATCAACGCACATGTTCAAATGCAGTAAAAACGTTGTCGACAGGTGCACTGGCTATATTATTACCAGAAATTTGTTTTCTGTCAACTCGTGACAGCAAGCTTTCAGTATCGAGTTTTAAAGCATTAATGAACCGTCTGAAAAATAACTATTTATTCATTTTATTTACCACATTCTATTAATAATTTTATTCGCATTATACATACATCTTCCATTTTTGCGATACTGAACGAAGATATATATCGAATTTTTTTAAATAAGATTATTTGATCTCGATTATACATGACTTCCTCTTGAATAAAGATGAAACTTTTCTAACAACAAATCAGACGATTTATAATTTTCATAATTTTTCAGTAGGGTTCTCATGCCGATGTAGACAGTTGTGAAACATAATTAATTAATATGCGAATCACATAATTACTTCGTCGTTCGTGTAACATCATAAGAGAAGGCGTAACGTCTCGTCGCGCCGCGTCAAAGCTGCTGAAGCCAGCGGTGTCGACGGCGCCGAAGCGAGACGAAGCGAGGCGAGGCGAAGCGATGCCGTAGGAGATGCGAAGGTTTCATTCATAACGAATTGCACGACGCGGTGCATGCGTACGGCGGCAATAGCGAGAGCGCGTACTATCTGCGTGCGTATAACGAGTAAGTGGTGCGGAGCATCAAAGCGGAACAACAACATAGGTCACACAAGGGACCTCGATCCGGTGTTATATTAAACAATCGAGTTAGTTGAGGCGAGAAAAAAAAGCAAGAAGAAACTCTGTTTTCGGCGAACTTTTAACATTGCGATAAAGGAAAAATAAATAGGTCAGAAATAGTCAAGCGCGACGCCACGTGTGTGTGTGTTTAAATTTTGCGCGTGTATTATCTTTCTTCTAATTTTAACCGTCTTGTCATCGTATAACCAGTTACCAATTACAAATAATTATTATCTCAGGTTGAAGTACACTCGTTTGCAAATAGTATAATGATTAGCGTAACACGAATACGCAAATATAGACCCGCAGAAGCAAAAGAAGTAAAGTATGGACGATGTTGCCGTACACAATCGAGTGCGTTAAAGGTGCGTTTGGCGTGCGCTCGCAATTCGCATTCGCGAGCGTATTTCGCGATGCCGCGATCACGGATTCCTCTCATTCTTTGCGAGCATGAAGCGAGCATTGAACCAAATGATTAATTATGTAAGCAAAAAGGTATGCCTTAGGAATATTACGAAGAAATTTGATCGTCGAGCGCAAGAGCGCGCGCCGGACACAATTAATGCACCCGATTGTACATTTTTCGCTTAACACCCGGGTTCCACTTTTTAACAAAGTCAAGAATCAGCGAAACGCTCCTTCCGTCAAACGCCATCGATCGTATTTCGCAGCGACAGGAATTATACGTGGAAGCATGGCGGGGGGAGGGGAGGGGCGAGAGAGGCACGACGAAATTGCAAGGTGGCAACGCGTGTGTCGCGAGATTATACCCGGTACGTAGCCAACGCGCGATATACAAAGGGACGGTCGGGATTCATTGCTTCTGGGTAGCCTACTTAAGAAGTTGCAACGGCCGGCGCATTCCGAACACTCTCCTCAAGGTTGCTTAGCCATTCACCTAAAGGCCGAAGCACTTTGGATGCCCTATACATAGACCGAATGTGTACCCATGTGTTCGGGTTTCTGTGTGCACTAGCACACTCGTGCGATGCTACCCTGTGGCATTCCTCAAGCCGGCCTGGTCTGTCTGGCCTGCCTCGCCCGGCCCAGCCCGGTATACTTGACGATATAGTCGCGACGCGCCGGCAATTCTGTCTCAACTGATTGCTACTTTGTATTCTCGATAAATGTTAACCGTGAGACTCAGACATAACGAGATCCTCCGATCCCTGCGGCGAACGTGTCGCGCGAGGAGGAAGCGCGATACTTTGCGGCTAAGTACACTGTCTCGATGCGATTATACTGCTGCAGAGAATACGTCAGCAAATACTTGACGAAACAGCGTTCTCCATAACCGAGAGAGGAAATTTCTAGCTATCGCAAGCCTCTTCTCTGTCAATCCACAGTCGTTTCCATAATCAAGTAAATTGCACAGCTTTAATTTACATGCGACAGAGCGACGTCCCATCCAGCATGGTGTTTCCCTTTAATCGATAATCCCCTTAAAGGTATATTGAACCGGAAAATGGCAATTGGATTAACAATAGTAAACAGGGAGTAAGAGCCAAGAGATCCCGAAGCGTATGCGACGAGCCAGATTATAAACATCAAATGCGAGCATCGTGGAATGTGGTTGTGATATATCCAGAGTTAAACCGGTCGTCCTGGCCGATGCAATATATAAAATTGGAGACAACTTGGAGGAATGGTCGACGAACGAAACGCCTCAAAAGGTCCGATGCAGTTTACTCGAATCGTCTTCTTACAAAGAGTTAATAGACAATCGAAGCGCTTTAATCAAATTTTCAAATTAAAATTAGAAACTCTGACGCTTATCTTAGTTTCGACAATCAGCTTAAATGATGGTTAATTATCCATTGCAATTGTTGCAATGTTCTCTCTATTGCATTGCTATGATTATATCCTTTGTCTCTAACGAATCTAATTATAACTGAATATAATTAAATAATTATATAATATAATTAAATATAATTAAATATTATATAATCATATAATATAATTATATAATATAATTAAATAATTATATTCAGTTCTTTTATTACTATTATGCATATCTTTTCTCTTTCTTCCGCATATTTTTATATTTTAAAGCATCATATTTCGATATCTCTCTCTCTCTCTCTCTCTCTCTCTCTCTCTCTCTCTCTCTCTATGTATAAATATATCGCTATAAAATTACTTCCCGATAAATAAAACAAAGATTAAATTAACGAATTAAATTGGAAAAATATTCACATCACGTAATAAATCTAATATATAAATAAAACAGTTAAACAATAAAGAAAACAAATAAAATAATTTGTGAAAATGTTTCGTCAGTTTCTTTTTACAACACAAGTTCGTTCTGCGCGCGATCGACACTTTGTTGCAAAAGTCCTCGATTAAACCGGCTGCAGAGATGACGCTTAGTATGAAAGGCAAGCGATCGCGTGGTTATGGGCTGGCTCGACATGGCGTCGAAGAAATGAGCAATGCAACAGCCAACAAAGAATCGTAAAGAAAATGCATTCGAGCATACTTAATACATTTCGTGCGCTGACCTGACCGAGCAAATCTATGAAAATTGATTGATGTATTTGGGTTATAAATTTCTTTGATGAATTTCATATAATTATTTGAACGATAAAAGATTAAAGCATCGGTCCATGCGGAAGATGAAACGATCCTGTGTCACTCTTAGACCTCTATACATAGATACGTCGTTGCACGATCGATAATTCGGCCAAGGTTTCAATTGTGCCATATTCCCTCAACAAAAAAAAAAAAGAGAGAGAGATCGACAAACTGCGACACTTCCATACACCGAAATATATTACATGAACACTGTACTTAAAACGTTCATTATCAATTAACCAGATAAAAGCTTTTTTTTTTTTTTAATAAAATGGTAATGAATTTGATAACATTTATAAGTTGTTAATCAATGTTAATGGCAAAAATAATGCAAGTAAAAATACGTTGGATAGCGCAGCCCTATAAATAAGCAAATAAACTACGTAACGCTCATCATTTTCTCGTGCTTGTGGCTCGTTAAGTTTCATCAAAAGCCGGAAGCCATCGGCTTGGCGCCACTCGAACCAGCCATATAGAGCCCGTAGAGTAGGTATCGTGTTGTGTGCTGCTGCGCTATTGTGCGACCGAGCACGGCGAATCGTTGGCTGTCTTCCGCGCGAAATACGTTCATAGGATAGCTCGATGCTCTAAAAATAGCAAACGTTTCGCGCTTTTTCCCGTGTCGTTTGAATCTCGATGAGCCCCGATGACGACGGCAAAAACGACGACGGCGATAAATTTATTAAACTCGTCAATGCCATACGATCGCGCGGTTGCACGGCGATCGCATCGAGGTTGCATCGTAAACTTATTATTGACGCGCCTTTACGGCGCAGACAAATGCGCTTCGTGAAGTACCTACACGAAGTATTTGTAGCGCCAGGTGCAACGCGCGCCGGAGGTCAACGGGACCTTCCCCTCGCCTTTCGAACGATGCCGGAAGTCGTCGTCTAGACAGCCCCGCACTCTCTTTTCTGATTCCAGCCGTCTCGGCGTGCACACGCTCGCCTCGAGGCATCTTTGCATCGCGATTGAAATTTCTGCACGCTGCACGGCATTCCGGTCCCCCTCGTTGTAACATCAAGGCGGGAGCCTCGACGGTACCCTCACCACCACGCCTACGATAATTTTGTGGTCCCGCCTTTTGGTTTGCCAAGTACGAGATATTCCACGCCCGAAACTCTCGGCAACTAATAAACTATGCAGTCAATTAATACGGCTGAAGAGTTAACTTGGAAATTTCAAAATCCGTCGTGCCGATGCATTCTGAAAGCGATTAAATACCTATCTACAATGCATTGCGATGTGACTTTTGGTGCGTGACGTAAACCCGATTAGTTCGTTGTAGATAAATTCGACGCGGCTTCATTCTGTATCAATTGTATGTTTATATACGAATCGTCGCGGCCCGTGTTAGTCTTTCGAGCGAATGGATATCGTTAAATAATGTCACCGGACGACTTCCGTCTCCGCTCTCACCGTAAGGAGGCACGCCACTTAATATTCGAGCTGACACGCCTTAATTACATCAACCTTCCTCGTCCCTCCGATTCTGAGCTTCCCCTAGACTAGACCATCCTTCCCGTTCCTTTGCTCTCTCTTCCGCGTATGATCTCGATAGCTTCTTCCCCTTGCTATCGTCGCAGTAAAGCACCTTCCATTAGGTTGGCTAGATGCGCGCGTAGGGAACGATATTCATAGTCGTTCCTTAAGGAATAAAGATCGCTTATTTATACCCGCATGTATTTGCATGCATCCATATTCCATGTATAAATAAGAAATTTTTATTCACCAAGAAACGACTATGAATATCAACCCAAGACAAATTTATCAAAAAGACGAAACTAATATTTCTTAATTGCGTGATCTCGTTGCTCTAAATTCTATTGTATATCATTGTATCAATTGTAACCCCGTGATTGACCTAACGTCGATCTAATTCGTTCGATGTTCAATTCCGGAATAAAAATGGTTTAACACGATCCACCAGTTGCGCATGGGATTTTCCGGATGTTCCTCTCGCTTACAAAAATATAAATCAAACAAAAGAATAAACGGAAAATAAAAAAAGCAACGTTATATAGAATATTCTTTATTGTATGTTATACTATATATTAGATGAAGGAAATTCTCTCAGGAAAAACATGCACGCTTTCCATTGCAACGCACAAGATAGTGACATACATAATTAATATAATTATGCACGTTGCCTGTTTACCTCAATTTACATTAGCGATCAATGTTCAATTACGTCATTATTGGCATATGCTCTTTCCTTGTTTACCTTACTTCAACCAAAACTAGAAGAAGTAAATATTATATAACAGTAACTTGCCACTCGATTTGCCTTCCTGCTGGTAACTCGATATATACGTGGGGTTAAAGACAACAACTACCATACCGAGTAGACGGTGCGGAAAATGTACGAAAGTGTTTTCGATAGAGAGAACGAGAGGGGGAAAAGAGAGACAGAGAGGATAATAGGGAGATGTGATGCGGTGTATGCTGGAACGAACGATGGCCGAGGTATTTTGCGCATCGTATCGCATCGTAGGAATACCATCGGCTCTGTTGTTCTCACGACGAACTGGCCCGCCTTTTTGTGGCGAGGTATGCAGACTACGGTCTTGTATGTACCTCTCTCTTTCTTTCTCCTCGTATCTCATCTCTTGGTTCTTTCGTTTCCTCTATTTTCTCTCTCTCTCTCTGTTTCTTGCTCGCTCTTTCTTTGTCTCGGCTGTTTCTTTTCGCTCCTCTTTTCTCGTTCAACCATAACACCTACTATCTCGAGGGAGCATACCACCGAATTAGATCGACTTTCGACTTGAAATATTCCGTTTGATCAGGAGGGATTTTTTCGAGGAAAAAACGAGATAGGCGAATGCTCTTTCTGTGTATATCTGGACACGAGACATATTTACCGGCGTATTTATACAAAACTTTAATTTCAACTTATATTTTTAATAGAAAAATAATTCGAATAGTATCAGCTTATGCACATAGCGATAGCAATGTGAAAATTCAATCTTCAAAGAAGAATAGCGTAGTAAAAAAAACATTTTTCTTATGCGATGCCATGTAAGAATTGCAAGACTGCGATGTAAAACGAATTTATTGTATCCCCGGAATATGCATACTTCGAAAAAATGGATCCAGCATTAAAACTCTTCGCAATATTGATACAAGATCCAAATATATAACAGGACAAGTTTATTTTCATCTTTATTGATGTGTTCTATTAAAAGCAATCTCGGAATTTGTGACCCTTGAAATCTTGTCCGCTCGAAACACGTGCCTATAATACCTATTGACGAACTGATTAATCGGTCATCATTATATCTACAATTGTATTTGCCGATGGCAGCCATTGACACGTGTCCCGAAACTGAAGAAGCGTAGGCTGTGGAACCGTTCCTAATTATGATTGACGTCCTAAGATTATCTTGAACCACATTCCGGAACGTGCGAATTTGCTTTCTGAACGCGCTGTACAACTTCTGTGGGCGATTGAGTACATCTCTCTACGAATATACATGTAGTGATGTAGCTTTGTAATTCTTTCGTCATTCTAATTATTCAATAGTAAACTTAGGTCAGAGATCTATTTTTTAAATATGAGCTCATATTTCTTTCGACAGAGAGAAGAGAATTTTCTATCATCGCGGGTGTTATTTAATGCTAAATATTATTAAATATTTCCATCTTAACTCACACATTGATCATAAAAAAACGAGATATAATCGAGAGATATGATAGTGCCTCGTGCCAAGTAAACGCGCAACGCGAGATTGCCCCGTGTCTCTATATGTATAAATCGATACATCATCCCACAGCAAAAGATAGTAATTAAAAAAATTTTCTCAACGACTTTCTCGGCGAATTACGTACGTGCTAAATTGTCATTACGAGGACGTGTACCTTAGTTAGGATATAAAGTGGCGGCGCACCGTCGAGACACGCCGCCACTTTATATATCACAAAGCAGGCTTACGTGTAGGCGAACTCAGACTTCTAGGAAGGAGCAGTAGAATATTCTGAGGAGAACGGAATATAAAACCAGTTGCGATAACCTCCTGGATGCAACTCTAAAACTACTCGTGCGCGTCGTTATTCTTTCTCCTCAATGCCTTCGCAATTATTCTCATTCTCGAATGTCACATTAAATCCCATACAAAATATTTCCGCTAGCAATAGACAATGATATCTGCATTTATTATTTTTTATATAGTATGCTTAAGGAGACGTCGTATTATATTAAATATTGACACAGTTGTAATTTAAGCGATAGATAATTTAATAGCACGAGAACCTACAATTGTGTTTCGCGTAACATAATATATCGGCAGTCGATGAATATCGTTGAAATTTCTCTCGGGTAAATGCACGGGTGCACGGTGGAAATGGATTGAAACGTTAGTGGTGATTGTGCGAGTTGGTAGCACAGCTTAAAGAACAATTTGTGCGATAATAGACTTGTCAATCATTCCGGTTCAGTCGCGTTAAAATCTCGTTACGTATACAAAAGAAGACACATCTGTGCTCTCCTCTCGGGGGATTACTTTAGTTATCGCCGGAAAATTATTACTTCCCTCGAAAGGTCACTTGTTCACATTTAAATGCAATTGAACAAATTAAAAAATTTCCGACTTTTGTAACGATTAACAGCTGATTCGCAACACGTAATATAAAGTGAATAGAGAAACTGTTATCCCATCGAATATACCGCGTTTTAAATGTTATCTGTAAACATACAAAAATACACATTGTTAATTCCGCTTTTGCATTGCATTACGCGCACTACGTGTCTGTATCGTTAATTTGTCACATTTGTCACGAATGTGGCATGAAAAGTCTGCACTATCGCGTCAAAGCTGGCTTCTCTTTATACGTTTTTACTTTTTATACGACATCGTCAACTTACATATCTGTGAATGTATCTCTATGTCTCTTCAGCATTCAAATACTTGTAGATGCGTAATTAAAATATGTAAATGAAAGTTTTAATATGCATATGAGTAAACTGGAGCAGTTGTCTTTTTTTTTTCGTTGTAGTTAAACGAAATTTTGCTCCAGTCACTCGTCAGAGTTGACAAGTTACAACAAAATCCTGAACTTTAGAGTAAATATGCGCATCTCATAATCATGAAGTTTTAAACGAAGAAGTTTCGTCTGGCCTGGCTGCTTTATGTTGCATTATACATCTAACAATACGGTTCGCGCTTCGCGTTGCTTTACTTTTTGAAGATTTGTATAAAGCTTTACACAAACATATAATATAGAAGTTCGGTCAATAACATGGCAAGTTGTTGATTCACGTGCACTTTTAGATGCGCATTTCAGTTTCTTCTTTGTACAGTTCAATCTGTGTGATCGATATAGTATTTTACAAACAAAACTCAATTCTTTGCCACATGTGGCGATAATTTAGAGTATTAAGTTTTGTGCAGAAAAATGTGTACGTATTAATAATAGTGTAATAATGATCTTTCTAAAATGTGGGTCGATTTATGCGTGTCGCTTAAGCGGATAGAGGAAAAAAGAGCGTATTCACCTCCGTCTTTGTTGCTACGGCCGATGGCGGTGTCGTGCGCTGCTGCGAAGTCGGGTACCGCGAGTATCAGGAAAACGATCCAGAGTAGCCGGCGCCATTCGGTCAATTTGAAATCGCCGTAGAGTCTGCCCGCGAAAATCCACCGCACTACGCTCGAAGCACATCTCGCGGACGATTCGCGGAGCAGAGTTCTATCACACCTCAAAGTTCTGTTCCCGCGTTTTCCAACGGTCGCTTCCGACGAGTCATTTGCTGGCGAGTCGTTCTTGTCGCGTTTTCGTCTCGATGATCGATCAGCCACGTGGCTGCCATCCCCTGGCGTCCATATCGCGTCCACCGAATCGTAGCTCGTTTGACCGCGAAGACGCACGCAAAGATCGCACGCTGTCGTCGTCACCGGTGACGGCAGGAAGGATACGCCATCGTCTTTCTCGAATGCGCCACAACTCGATGACGGACATTGGCAGTGGCAGGTGGTAGAATTAGCCTCGGAAAACGAGGATGCAACGATGCTCGGCACGTCCTCGTCGAACGTCGCGCCGCGAAGTCTGCGCGCGGTATAACACGCGGCCGAAGACTTCATTTTCACCGGAAGAACGAAACTTCTCCCCGACGGGAAAAATGACTCCTCACGTCCTCCGCGAATTCAGAGTAAAACGAGTAAAGCGTCGCGTTTCGCTCGCATTTTTCCTCGCCGTCGATGCGGCAAACTTTTTCTCGCGCCTCGGCAGCCTCTTCGGGTGTTCTCTCCCTGCTCGTCTTGCGAACGTATGCGCGAACGGAGGGCTCGAGAGTCAATGCGACCACAGGTTCGACGACGATCGCTCGAAGACGCTCGCAAATTTTTCTCTCTCTTTCTCTCTCTCTCTCTCTCTCTCTCGACGTAACGCGTTTGTCGACGTCGGCCTCGTTTGACCTCCTCGTAACCGCGCGGGAGACTTCGTAGGCGTACCACGAGACGAAAACAGACGCGCGCACGCACGTATACGCGATATATCAATCGACTGTGCTGAAAGATCGGTGCCACCACCAGCAAGTCATCACACCAGACGACTTCATTAACTGTACCGAACGCGCGCCGATTCGAGATTCGCGAGTTGATCGGGAATCTTGACACCGATCAATGCACACTCCTCATCATACCGATGATCCTGCTTCCTCGGCGATATCTAGGCAATCTATCGTCCTGAAACGAAAAAGAGCAGAAAGTTACATTTTGTACATGTAATCAACTATATTACAGTAATTTTTAATCATTAAATTCATTAAACAAGTCTCTTTATCGTCACTTCTTAAGGAGAAACTTTTCAAGGAGTTACATTAAGCTCTTGTAGGTTTATTTGAACTGAAGAGGAACACCTTGAAGCATTAATTTTCATACTCGTTAGAGAATAACGCGAGCACGCCGCACGACGAAAAATACACACATAAACCTTGAGACGATAGCTAGAAATTATGATGGTGACTTTCGCAAATAATGCTTACGTATAGCCATCAATAAACGGTATGATGATGATAACTTATGATCATTATTTACATTGTATGGCGATCACCGGCGCCAAGCGATGTCACGTTCATTATGGTCATTATATGAAAAGAATGTCTCGTACAGATAAATTATCGTAAATGAACATTGTGTGCGTCCATTCAACAGCGCGCGTAATAACATGATATAAAAAAATATATACCTCGTTATGAGGGTTGCAGCTAATTATATGACTGGGTAACTACACGATCAATTGCAAACGTATACGTGCAGCTGAAAAACAACGTCGTTGCGCAACGTTTTTTTGAAGATATTCAGCATGGCCCTGTCTTATCAACTTGAAGTTTATTAATTCATGCGAATATACACGATAGCAACATTTATTTTTTACACGATAACATTTCAACTCAAAAATAGTCAAGCAAAAAAATATCGGTTTTCAGTCCTGCGCAGATATTATAAATTATAAAATTACAACGTGAAACATCTCTCTGTTTGAAGAATTATAAGAATTTGTTTGTCTGTCTGTTTCGAAATATAAAAGCAAGCAAATTTATAAGCAAGAGCTCGGTAGAAGTTTATTTTAAATTATATTACTCCATTGGTTTCTTTGTACAAGATTGTGGTAACGATACGCGAAGAAAAACGAGCAGATGGTATCTCTATGGTAAAAATTAAGTTTAGCTGACGATTGAATAAATACGTTCGAAAAGATGCGCGTTAATTTCGATCGTCGGATTCACCGTCGATGTTTCGCGAGGAAGACGCTTGTCGAACAACGAACATTTATCCCGAGGGGTTTGCGAAATTTAATCAAGCGTGTTCATTCGAAGTTTCTCTCTCGATCCTGCTATGGATATTCCCTTGCCATGTTTTGTTACAATTTTTCATGATAACACACAATAGATCGTTTATGTAGCGTCGAGATCAATTATATTCAAAGTGCTTTATGTATGCTAATTTTGGATGACTGTCGGCGAGTATCATGCACTCAGTTTTATGCGCATTTTTTACGAACCGCGACACTCTATACATTTTTATATTCCCTACACCGGGGTCATGACTGCTTTGTGACAATATCTTTGCAACATATTTATAGCGCAATGCAGCGCGTGCGATAACATGTGTGATTTACAAATTATCGAATAAACTGGGGGTGCTTCGAATCGACAATACAACCGTTTGCCATAGCAACACCCATATCGTCGGCGTATATGTACCCTGATATAATTGTTTTTCAATTAAATGAACACATTATATATTAACATTGAAATTAAATATTTATTTCGTTCAAAAAAAGTTTTATTTCATCAAATGAATTATTATTCGAATGAAGAAAAACATCATTACTTTTTCAAGATCACACAAAATATGAAATATTTTAAAATAAGAAAATATTATAGGTAATAGAGACTTTGCGTTTTAAACAAGTAATCAAAGATAACGAAGTTATTTATTACTTAAATAAATCGATATGTTTAAAATTCAGACAACGAGAGTACAGGTGATAACTTTGACTTGAAACAAAAAATTTTTTTTAAATTATGTGTCTACATGAGTCGCTCACCTGCGGCAGAGTTGAGTGTTTCTCACAAGTAAAAATCCATATAGAACAGTATAAACGCAGCATTATAATTTTCACTCAATTATTTAAAAAAAGATATTTTTTTGTATAAAACTGTCGGGCACAAAGTAGTCTCTGCAAACCTGCCTCGCCCATACGTGGCGAGAAAACGGAGTATTCTCCCCGTTACTAAACTCTTCTCAGAAAGGTAAACCTTAAGCTTTGAGAACCGCACGACCAACCAGTTGTGTGTCTAGATGCAATATTCGCGTTGTTTACGATGCCGACATCCAATGTGCCAACTGCTTTTCATTATGCGGAAGGCGTACATACATAGTCAGAAGGCACTAATAAAGTAGAAGAGAGAGAAAGCAGGAAACATACATACACGCTATCCTGTTTACAATGCTACTTCTTGAAAATAATTACAATTTTTAAATGCATTATAAAAAATGCATGAAACAAAATGATTAAATCAAAATATTTCGTTTCCGTTTGCAGGATCTTCTTTGAATTGAAATGAGCCATTTTGTAACTTATCTGTTGTACGCATCTAACGTGGTAATTTCTCAGTTATATAATACCCTCCGAAATCTTAATTATGATGTGTGAATAACGGATTTCCCAGTCAGAAGCGCAGTATTGAAAATACGCAGAAAATCGTAATTCGCGCCGTGTCGCGACGCGACGGGAGTGAGACTGACCGTGCGATCCCACGGACGGTTAAGTGGCTGCAAAACAAAAAATTTGGAGCGTCGCGCCTGATCGTACGAACACTGTCTTGCTTGCCGTGACTCTCGGGTTAAGTAACATGATTTGATTAAGCGTAGATTTCTCTTAATAATAAACGGTAATTGATTTATTGCGTATAAAGAGGGTCACGCTGTCATCCGTAACGAGATGTGTACGCTGTGGCACGCGGGGGACTCGAGAGATTCGATTGTACCTCTACGGTCGCGACCTCCTGCGAATGACAACTCGCAAACGTTTCCAATTCACAATTCACTGAATTCGTTACTGATCCGGTGTTTTTATTCCACGTACATCTCGCTTAGCGCGCAAAAAGAAATCAGCATCTGCAGCATCTGCGTAGATTTGCATCCATCTTCTCTACAGCACAGAGACAATGCTGTAACTCTATACACTTACAGAAACGTTGCACAGGAGTTATCTTATGTAAATCAAATCTCGTTTGTTAAACATATTCAAAACCACTTCCTTAATTTTGTCAACTGTCAGCTTTATGCGCTAACGCATCTTTTATTTACGAGAATTTTAATCATTTGTATAATCACACATCTAATGAATGAATCAATATCATCATAGAACCTTTCAGTAAGATTGCAATGTTGCGGCAAAGTTATGTAATCTCGCCAATTTCAATATAATATGTTGCAGAGAAATTGTAAAGATATGCAGGGAATTGCCGAATTCCAATGAGATTGCACAGCAATAAAATGTTAAAAATGTCGCATTACCATATGCAAATATAATTTTACTGTGATATAGCAACGTTTTCTGTTTTGTGTAGAGGTATAGTCATGTGGAAAATAATAGTCTCACGCAACGTGCGTAGGTCCACCACCTACGCCGTCTTATTCATAGTTTTATTTGTAGTAAGTGAAGGCAAACTCGAGAATGCGTTACAGCGCGACACACTTCGTCATCGTGATAGCAATACAATTATTTCACGCGTGAGCTCGAAAATGGCAAGTATAATTTTAAAAACTATCAGAGGCTTCATTCAATAAATTAGCAAAAGGAAAAAATACACCGCGGACGTATAATTATTTATGATCTTGAGAACGTCTCTTCCTCATCGATATGCAAAATATTAAATATTAACAGTGATTTAATAATCTGGCTATAAAAAATGTGAATGTGCAAATAGTAATCGTTTTCCTCATTGTTTGTTCATTCGTACATGGCAGATCGATATCAAATGCGAGAATAGCTTTTATCAAGAAACAGTTTGCTAAATCGCGAGACGGTAAGCAGGATAATCCGGTCGGGATCTGATGGACGCTCGAAATAATCGAGTTCCGGACAGCGCGAAATCCTTTTGCACGGTGATCGCGTCACCGCGTCAAAACACACGGGGCGTCGCGCGTCGCTCGCCTACAACTGTATATGCATCTCGTACACATATATATATATACACACCACGCATTGTCGGCGTCGGCACGCGAGTATACAACGCGTGCGTAATGCGCGCGAATGCAGCGGACCGGCTCGAGCGGACGAGAAACAAGGAAGGCGGATGCATCGGGAGAACGATGTAGAGTGGGGAACAACACCGAGGGCGACCGGCGACGTGAAACTCTCGAAGAGGGGCACACCATCGAAGACGAGGGCGAGGGAGAGGAAGCGAGTTTCATTCACCGCCGCCGCCACTCGCCACGCCGGTCCGAGTCGCCGTCCGCGTTCTACTACGAGGTATTTGTGCTGTGTCGCATTTGCAGGTTCGCCGACACCCACCCGCCGACCGCCGATGTTCCATCGACCGCTCTCGAGTCCGCTCTTTGCCAAGCGTCCGCGTCGCACCGTAATCCGTTTAGTTGTCAATTGAACGGAGGTCTACCACGAGGAAAGAACGGGCAACGTGCTCTCGTTGCGTTCGTATAAATCGCAAATTATTCTTCATCCAATTGTCAGAGAGTACAATTTGTTGTCACGACCGAATACAAACTTTGTCACGGTTTTTCGCTTTCGCAGATTGTCCGTGATTACGTAACACGTACCGCTCGAAGCGTTTTAAAACGCATAAGCTGTACGTAGATTTTTCGTGTGCTGTAACGTGATGCAACACACACTGGTGCGCAACGAGGTAGCGGCACGACCGATCGATGTACCGAGGAAAAATATATGCAGTTAATTGAATGTAGTTTATAATCAAGTACGTTGCAGTATTGCGCGTTTATAACGAATGTAGATACCAGTTAAAGAACGCAGATACGATAAATGATATCCTATCTAAACGATATTCTATCGATAAATGGAATTAAACGTCCCGCGAGCGGGAAAAACTAATAAGAGGACAATAATTACACACAGTCAAGGGTGGTGTGAGCGATAGCGCGAGTTTCTCCTTGTGTTCTTTTTTAAAAACGCGTTTTATAACGCGCCAAGTCGCTTA